AGGTAATGTATTTCTAGAAACTTGTCCATTTCTTCTACGTTTTCAAATTTGTTGGCATATAGTTCTTCACAGTATTCTGTTATTATCCTTTTTGTTTCAGTTGCTTCTGTTGTAATGTCACCCATTCCATTTCTTATTTGTCTTATTTTCATCTTCTCCCTCTTTTTCTATGTTAATTTGGCCAGTGGTTTGTCAATTTTATTAATCATTTCAAAGAACCAATGGGTTGGTTCTTTGTATTAGTTTTCTATTTCTGCTCAAATCTTTATTATGTCTTTTCTTCTGGTGACTGTAGGCTTTTTTTTTTTTTTTTGCTTCTCTTTTTCTGTGTTGGTGTTGTAGGGTTAAGGTGTTAATTTTTACTCTTCCTTCCTTTTTAGTGTATGTGTGTATAGCTATAAATTGACCTCTGAGCACTGTTTCTGCTGTGTCCCAAAGATTTTGCTAAGCTGTGTTTTCATTCTCATTCGATTCTAGAATTTTTTTTAATTTCATTTACTACCTAGTGGTTTTTAAGCAGGGTATTATTCATTTCCATGTATTGATTTTTCCTTGTTCTTCTGCTATTGATTTCTAATTTCATAGTGTTGTGATCCAAGAAGATACTTTGTATTATTTCAATGCTTTTTAATTTACAGATGCTTACTTTGTGGCCTAACATATGTTCTGAAGAATGATCCATGTGTGCTGGAAAAGAATGTGTACCATGTTCTTGTTGTCTGGAGTGTTATATATATGTCTATGATCATGATCAAATTGGTTGATTGTGCTGTTTAAATCTTCTGGATTTTTCTTGAGTTTCTTTCTAGTTGTTCTCTCCTTCATCAAAAGTGATATGTTAAAATCTCCTACTATTGTTGTGGAGTTGTTTATTTCTCTTTTCAATTCTGTAAAACTTTGTTTTATGTATTTTGGAGCACTTTCACTAGGTGCATAGATATTGATTATGATTATGTCCTCTTATTGACTTGACCCTTTAATCATTATATAATGCTCTCCCTTTTCTTTTATGCTGGTTTTTGCCTTAGTCTGTTTTATCAGAGATTAATATTGCCATTGCTGTTCTCTTTTGGTTGCTATTTGCTTAATTTATTTTTTCTATCCTTTGATTTTTAGTTTATTTTTATATTTGGGTCTAAGGTGTGTCTCTTGTAGGCAACATATCTATGGGTCATGTTTTCTTATCCATTCTGCCACTCTCTATGCAGTCAATCTATTTACATTCAGTGTAGTTATTGATAGATATGAATCTACTGCTTTCATTTTGTTGTACTTTTTTTGTGTGGTGCTCATGATTTCTTTGTTCCATATATTTTTCGATGTTGGGTGTTTTGTTTATGGATTTTCTTTTTATTTTCTTTATTGCTGTTACTTCTGTATTTACTGAGTCTATGATTTTCTTCTTTTTTGCTTTGGTGATGTTTATTAATTTTCTTTGTTGTTATCCTGAAATTTAGTTTTATCTTCCCAAGTTTAAAACAGTTTGTTTTATCTTGACATCACCTTAACTTCCTCTCCATGTGGAAGTTCTGTAAACTATACCTTCTTTTTTTGTTTTGAAGTTATTGCTTACAGATTGACTGTCCAGTTCCCTATTTTCAATCTTGTAGCATTATTTTATTCTTGATAATTCTTTATCTGTGTTGGTTTCTGGATGATGTTGTCATGTGTCTTAATATCAAATTATTGTCTGACATTGTTGGTTCTCTGTCCAAAGGACTCTCTTGTACAGTTGGTCTAGTTTTTACAAATTTCCTTAACTTGTGTTTATCTTGAAATACCCATTGTATTTAAGGGACAGTTTTGCTGGATATATATAATTCTTGGTTGGCAGTTTTTTTCAGGGTTTTATATATGTCATCCCATTACCTTCTTGCCTACATGGTTTCTGTCAAGAACTTAGAGCTTAGTCTTATTATTTTCCCCTTTGTAGGTAACATTTCTTTTTCCTGAGCTTTTTTCAGGATTCTTTGTCTTTGGTTTTGGGAAGTTTGATTATGACATGTCTTGGTGATTTTCTTTTGGGGTCTATCCTATTTGAGTTAGTTGAGCTTCTTAGGTGGATATTTTCTTGTCTTTCATGATAATTAGGGAAGTTTTCAGCTAACAAATCTTTGAAAATTTTCCCTGTATTTTTTGTTGTTGTTGCTGTTGTTGTTTGTTTGTTTTGTGTCTCTTCCTGTTCCACAGTTCTGATCACACATAAATTATTCCTCTTGATGGCGTCTCACGTAACTATTAGGCTTTCTTCATTCTTTTTTCTGATTGTTCCTCTAACAGATTAATGTCCTGGGATTTGTCCTCTTTCACTGATTCTGACTTCACTGATTCAGTTCTACTCCTTTGTCCTTCCAACGTGTTATCTTTTTCTGAAATTTTAGTGTTAATCTTCTGGATTTCTGGTTGGTATATTTGTATGATTTCTAATTGTCTATTTATTTTGTCATTTTATTCTTGCATTCATTCTTTTAGAGTTTTATCTGTGTTTTGCTTGATTTTGTCTGTTTTTCCTTGGTCTCTTTTTTGATCTCTTAGAGGACCCTATATATTTGCATTTTGAATTCCTTACCTGGTAATTCCATAACCATTTCTCCCTCAGAGAGGTTTCCTGGTTCTTTATTTTGGTTACTTGCTGAAGCCATCTTGTCCTTTTTCTTTAGGTGATTTGATGTGGTCTGTTGTTTCCATTTATTTATTAATTGTATGTTTTTTTGCTGTGACCTGATTTTTTTATGTTTGTTTTGATATATCTGTTCAAGTGGGATGGGCATGCTACTCTGGTAGCTAGTCTGGCTGCACTGGAGCAGTCACCACCTGTCTCCAGGTGAGTGAGATAGCAACTGGGGGTGTGTGAGCCTGTGTCTCTGTTCACTGGTCTTACAGGTCAGCTGAAGGCATTGTTGGGTGGGCATTGACCACTGTCTATCATTAGTCCAGTGGTACAGGAGCAGGCAGTGGCCCTTACCAAGTGGGTGGGGCAACAGGCATGGTGGTGTGCTGGCTGGTGAGGGCATGGTCTCCACCTCCTGCTGGATGGGGGTGGGGTATGAGTGGCAGGCCAGCATGGATACAGTTGGCATTTGCCACTGCTTACTGGGTGGGGGAGGGAAAGGAGCAAGCAGTGGGTAGGGAAAGAGGAAAGGAGCGGTAGGTGGATGCATGCGGGGTCACACTGCTACCACCTCTCAGCAGGAGCTTAGCTAGGTTGGTGGTGCAGAGGGGTGGAAGTTGGGGCAAGAGTGGGCCTTATACCTTGGTCTCCATCAATCAGAGCTGCAGGGATGGGGGATTTATGCCACTAAGAGTCAGGGGAGGGGGAGTGTGCTCCTTTGGTTCCTGGGCAACCATACCTGGGCCCTTCTTGTGGGCTGCAGCCAGTAATCAGGACCTTATTTCACTCAGGATATGTCTACACAGTTACTCTATGTCCTGTCGAGAATTCCATGAAGTCGCCTTCTGTGCTTCTCACTGAGGATTGTGGCTGTCTTTGTCTCAAGATGACCATGCTGTGCCACAATAGCTAGCAAAGCCCCTATACTCTATCTCTTCTCAGTTGCTGTTTTCAGTTTCTTCTTCCAGTCAGTGTTTGAGCTAGTTCTTTATCCTTTCACTTGATGCTTAGGGCTCCAAGATTGTCTTCTGTATCTGTTTCATTTAGTTTCTCAGGTCTTTACTGTAGAGGGACAGGATGGTGTGTCTGACTAAGCTGCCATTTCAGCTGGAAGTCAAGTTGTCTTTACTTTCAGTAAGCAAGGTTGTATCTTCTGCATGTCTCAGGTTGTTCATGAGTCTTCCTCCAATCTTGATGCTGCATTCTCCTTCCTATAGTCCAGCTTCTCAGATTATTTGTTCAGCATACAAATTGAATAAGTATGGTGAAAAGATACAACCCTGATGTACACCTTTTCCAATTTTGAACCACACAGTTCTGTTTGAACTGCCTCTCGATCCATGTGCAGGTTCCACATGAGCACAATTAAATGTTCTTGAATTCCCACACTTCCTTATGGCCAATAGAAAATGAACTTTCTGGGACCCTTTTATTTCCCCACTTCTTGATCCTCAACCCCTAGGTTTTACACAGCTTTCATTAGACTTCCATTTTAATTCCCTCCCACTGCATCCCTACTGTTTCAGAGCTACCATGTACAGGCAGGCTCATGCTCACCCCATCTCTTCCCCTCTCCTCCCTGGCCCTTGTCTGATGAGTGAATTGCCATGGTCAGCAGGAAACAGGTGACACCTGAAAGCCAGCCATTCCGAGAGGGGATGTTCCTAAGGTGGCTCCCTTTCAGTGGGTGGGTAGTGCTACTTCCCCACCAGAGCTGGCTGGGAGCATTTTCTAGCACACAACATCTTTGCATCATGCTGCTGCTTTTCCCATCCTGCTGCTCCATTCTGGTGGACAAGACTTCTGTCTTTGTGATGAGATGTCTTCACATCTCTGGCCCCAGAAACAGGTTGTGATTTTGGCAAATCAGTGGACCTAGGATCTGGGTGTTGGAACGGTCTAAGTGTCAGAAGTCCCACAGGTTTTGAAAGGGGAGGGGGGCAGCAACTCTTCTGCCCCCACCCCAGTCCATGTGTACCCCAACCTCATGGGCTGATGGTAAGCTTGCATTTTTTACTATTTGTGAAAGATTCATAATATGTGCACTTTTCCATATGATGAGTTATACTTTTGTAAAAGGTGTTTTTTAAGAAGCTTTAAAATGTTGATAATTATGAAGCTGGTGTTGGTGACATGAGGATTCATTGTACTATTCTCTCTATTTTTTTGATGTTTGGAAATGTTTATAAAATTTTTTTTTTTATAAATTATATGATATGAAAAGTGCCATAGAACTTTAGAGCCTGGATTGTTTGAACACTGACCTCTGGTACTTGAAAAAGTTACAGCAAGTTACAGGGGCTCTGCCTGCAAGTGTCTGCCAGCCTGAGTTCCTCTGTACCCACACTGCTGACGTGAGCATGTTGCTGAATTTACATTCCCAACTCAGCTGTATTTCAGAGTTGTCGGCGTGGCCATCGACGTGCCTGTCTGGGTGCCAAAGCCCAATGTGGACCTAAAGATCTGCATGTATGACCGGCTATACCAGGACTCTGTGCTCGTGCACACACGGTGAGTCTTGTCTATACCAGGACTCTGTGCTGGGAGGGGCCCTGGGAGTGGGACATGGGACTGTCTAGATGGGGTCAAACTAAGGATCTTGAGATTGAAGATTGTTCTGGATGATCCAGGTGGGCCCAATGTCATCACAGGGTCCTTAAGAGGGGGAGGCAGGAGGGTCAAAGTCAGAGGGGACGTTAAGATGGAAGCAGAAGTTGGAAAGATGGAATTGCTAGCTTTGGGAATGGAGGAAGGGGTCAAGAGCTGAGAGATGCAGACGGCTTCAGAAAACCCTAAAAAGCAAGGAAATGGATTCCCTACCCCTACCCCAAACTCCAAGGAGGAGCCAACCCTTGTGACTCCATGATTTTAGCTCTGTGCAAGCCATCTCAGACTCCTGGCCTCCGGAACGATGAAAGAGTAAATTAGTGTTGTTTTAAGCCACTGAGTCTGCTGGAAGTTGTGACAGCAGTGATAGGAAATTAATCACCCCACACACGCAGGTCACATGGTGCAAGCCCCTTTCCTTGGATGGGCACAGATGAAGGCACACAGGCTCTGGAGCGTTTTCAGTGGTTCCTGGGCCCCCAGGGATCTGGGGAAAAGGGAAAGGGGTGCGGCTGTCCCAGAAGCTCAGAGGGACACCAAAAGCAGAGGGTATATCCTATCCCTTGCATATGTGCAAGGTCATCAGAATCCCAGCAGCCGTGTCCAGACATTTTATTGGTTGAAACTTATGTGGAAAATGATAGTAGATCTTCAAACCAGAGTGCAGTGAACCTCCATGAATCGCACTGTGTGTCTCTAGTCCCAGGTGAGAGGGCCTGGGAGCCTCAGCATGCCCCACCCCTATACACAGAGGCAACTTCATGGGAGAGCCCTTGTACCCTCACCCCATGCCTGTACTGTTCTGCTTTCATCTTTGTATGTCAGGAACTTGAAGGAAAAAACACAGGTTGCCAAGGTTATGGTGGGGGAAGGCAGTTTCCTCTCACAGCTGCCCCATCTGTGAGGGTGTGACAGAGTCAGGGATAGACCATGTCACTAGGGAGGTGGGGACCTGAAGGAAGAGCTCAGGTGTATTTACTGGGGAGGCAGGGCATTGTGCTCTTCAAGTTCATCTTAGGGTAAAAGGGCATCTGCCCCTGACTGTGTACATGATGTTTTTTGTAATGGGTGGGGGAGTCTGGGGCCTGGTTTTACTCTCTCAGAACACCAAGCCCTGGCACAGATTGACAGTGTAGGTGTGTTAGGTATTTAGTTCAGTATTAGTCATTGCTAGGTTTGTTTCATTAGCCAGTTTTATGGCCAGGGAGGTAGCAAAAGGTGTTGACACCTTTTGTATCCAAGGAAGAGCCACCAGCTGCATATGAGACAAAAAGTAGAACTTAGTGGAGCTGGTTCAGGGCTCCCTATTCAAAGAACACAAGGGAGGAGGGAGACTCTCTGCCTTCTGAGCCATGGGAGAGACCTGTGTGCCCCGCAGCTCCCTGTGCTTGGTCCTCAGCTGACTTCACTTTTGCCTTTGAATCCTTGTGGATGGGACACTCAGGGTGGTGGAGATGCAGACACTGGGGTGCTGGGCAGCCAAGAGACAGGTGAAGGAAGGAGGCTCTGAAGTGAAGCTCCTGGTTCTGTGCAGACCAAGGACCCAGCGCCCTGCGGCTAAGCCTTCTCCTTCAGCTTAGAAATCACCCCTCCTGTGGAAATAACAAGGTCCTCAGTGGAGAAGAAAGGTGGTTTACTCAGAGTGGACACATGCACAGACTCAGAGACAGGCCAAGGCAGGGATCCCAAAGTGAAGCAAGAATGGCTCCTATGCACCCTGGGGAAGACACTGGGTGAGGAGATTGTGACTAGGTGGGGGTATCCCTGTGATTGGCTAAGGGGCCATATTTGGCTTTCTCCAGCTGGTCCTGAGTCGGAGAGAGTGAGCAGAATAGGTAAGTAGCAGTTACTGACCATGTCCTGGCCATCTGAGCCAGCCACCACAGAGGCTGCTTGTACAGATCGTGGGTCAGAGTACCACTGTCATGTATGGTGGCCTTGCTGTGCGCATGGCTCCCACTCCTCTCAAACGACAGATCCAAGGCATTATGAAGCCCCCAGCACGACAGCACCCAGCAGGCAGGCTGACATACCACACATGTCAACTCAGACAGGTGTCTGCCCAAGTTGGGGTGTGTATGACATCACCTCAAGGTGTCCTGCCCTCCTCAGGAAGGCTGGGGAGGGGTGGGAGATGGATGTGTGGAGTTTAAGAGGCCTGTGATACTCACTGGGAAGTATCTGGAAGGCAGCTAAATGTGGAGACAGGGAATACCCAGACACAGCACACATCATCAACGTGCAGGCACATGTGGACCGTGAGGCCAGGTGTACACTGTGTTCAAGACTCTATGACAGCACAGGAACCAACCGCACTGTGAGACCAAGTGCAACCTGCCACACCACTGTGGGATGCTGAGAGATGCTACCTGGAAGACCCCTCTGTTCCCCTTGCACCCATCCCACCCCTCCTCCATGGTCTCTGGAGAGAGTGTTGGGAGGATGAAAGGGGTCACAGAGTCACGTCTCTATGCAGAAAACCACCTCCACGGTGTCCAGGCCACCATCTGAGTCTTCCGGGGCTATCAGAACAAGGAACCACAAAGTTGTTGTTAATTGCTCTCAGATCAACTCCAACTCATATAGAGACCTGGGTGGCACAAATGGTTAAGTGCTGGACTGCTAATCAAAACGTTGATGGTTCAAACCCAGAAGCATTTCAGAAGTAAGGCCTGGCGATATGCTTCTGAAAGGTCATATAGCCTTGAAAACCCTATGCAGCAGTTCTACTCTGCACACACGGGGTAACTATGAGCTACAAAGTAGGCAGCTTTAAATTACAGAGATTTATTCTCTCATGGCTCTGGAGGCCAAAAGTCTAAATTCAGGGTGTCAGCAAGACCTTGCTCTCTACAAAGTCTCTTGGGGAGGATCTTTCCTTGTTGAGTGCAACTTCTGGTGGCCCCAGGAGCTCACTCTGGTCTCTGCCTCTGTGGTCACGTGGCTTCTTCCTCTTCCCCCTGTGTATGTCTCAGATGGGGTTAGGATCCACCCTCCTCTAGTATGACCTCATGTTAACTAATGATAGCTGCAAAGACCTTATTTCAAAAAAAAGACCTTATTTCCAAACAAGGTCATTGCACAGGTGGGGAAAGTTAGGTCTTGAGCATGTCTCTTTGGGGGATATGATTCACCCCACAACACCTGCCCCCTCATTCTTTCTGCAGGAGATAGTGCTTCACGGGGGAGGTGAGCGATACGAGGTACGGGCACCTGCCTGCCCCAGGGCAGGGCCAGGACCTGCATACCTTCCCGATCCTTGGCCTGGCCAGAAGGAGGCCAGAACCCCTGGGGGCTCCACCACACTTGCCTCCCAGGTCCCGCACCCCCCTGCCCCACAGACCCTCTGCCCAGAATCGCTGGGCTGGTGGTCAGTGCTGTTTCCAGTCGAGGTGCTCTTATCTTTAGAACCACTCACAGCTTCCATTTCAGGAAAAGCCACCTCTGGGACCCAGGACCATGCATCCCCCACACACACTCAATGTTGGACAGACCATGCGTCTCCCATACACTCAATGTCGGACAACACCCACAGGTCAAAGGCAGCTCTGCGCCTGAGGTTTGAGGTGTGCAAGGAGCTGCGGGCCCACATAGAGCTCCTGCCCGAGACTGGCTACATCCAGGCGTTGTCTTCCTACTCAGTGCAGCTCAAGTTCCTGCCACGGTGAGATGGGCTGGGAAGGGGGCCAGAGTGAGGGGAGAGGATAGGGAGAAGCCAGGGAGGGGCTGGGAGGGGTAGCTGAGGTGGTTTGTTAAAATCAGAGCTGCCTCTGTCACTTGGCCTTGGCAGCTGCCCATCACAATGACCCCAAGTTTTGTATGTACCCATTGCCATCAAGTCAATTCTGACCCACAGCAACCCCACAGGACAGAGTAGGACTGCCCACAGGGTTTTCAGGGCTGTAATCTTTACAGAAGCAGACTGTCTCATCTTTCTCCTGAGTAGGCACTGAGTGGTTTCAAATGGCTAAACTGCCAGCCTTTTGGTTAGCAGCCAAGCGCTGAACCACTGCGCCACCAGAGCTCCCTTTTGTTATTTGGACTCTCCCTGAAATTTCTATCATGCTGTTGGTTTCCTTTTATAATGAGAGCAAACTTTAACAATTGGTTATGCATTTTCAAAGTGGCTTTTTGGATTCCTTAAGGTTGCAAACCACCTTATTAATTTAAAACAGGATTCATGTATATATGTGGGTTTGAGTCCATTTGTTCAGAAAGAGGCTACCACCCTCAGTTGGATGCTAATGGTGCTCCCTGGGGTTCTGAGCCCATTCGGAGACTTAGCACAGAAAGACTCAGAGCCTGCACGTACATTGTCACCCTGCCCAGAAAGTCCACCCCAGGGTCTTCTCTGGGGTTCCATGTTTCACATGTCTTAGCCTTGCTGTGATCTGAAACTGCTGTTTATAGACCTGTTGTACTAGCATTTCAGAAAATACAAAGAAAGTACATAGGCACATACCTGCCTCTTTCAGACACTCCCTCCCCGAAGATGCAGGGAAATACTTTGACAAGGAGACCCGAGTTCTGGAGGCCCCGATGACAATCTGGGTGGCTGACCAGGTCTGTGAAGCCCCATGCTGAGTGCAGCACCTCACCCTCAAGTCCCAAGAAGCCAGGCCACTCTGGGGAGCTGGGCTGCTCTAGCTGGCTGGTCTCTGCACAGTAAGGCCTCTCAAAAGTAGGGCTCTGGGTTCGCAGAGCCTGCCCTTACGTGCCTTCCGGGCATGTTCTGATGGCTGACTGCCAGAGGTATCAGAAGTGGTCTGTGGGACAGACGGGAGCCCAGACCATCCAAGAGCCAAATCCTGTCTAGGGCGAGCTGACTCAGGCCCCCAAACTCATGCACACGTGCGCACATGCTCACACACACATATACACAATGGTGCACACATATAGAGACTCAGTGCACCACATACACAGGCATGTTTCACATGCCAGAGGTGCCCATGTTAACATTCAACATACCACATGTGCTCATACATGTGTGCACACACTCATATACAGAGGTACACACATGCACACACCCAACACATACTCGCAGGTACACACACCACACACATGTACGCACTCTATAATACACACATGCATATCTTCATATACAATATACCACATACACGTGGGTACCATGTGCCCTCCACACACCTGCCCATGGGCCCTGCTTCCTCCTGGCTACTTCCCTGTGATTTAGCCTCACAGTCTCACAAGCCAGGCCACTCCCAAGAAAAGCGATTCCTTTAAAAACAGACTTTTTTGTTTGTCATCAGTGCACTGTGGCCACAAGGTAGCAGTGGCACTTACTCTTCCTCACTGTGCCTTGGCTGTTTCTGGGTACGTGCACAGTAGAACCAGTTGCAGGAGACAGGCATACATGTTTGCTCTTTGTGCCTAGATCAAGCCTGTGGGGTTCATCGTCCACGCCATTGTCACCACCTCAGACTTGGAGATCAGTCCCCCAGAAGTGGATTTTGGCTACTGCACCATCTACGAGGCAATTAAGACCAAGGTCACAGTCCACAATCACTCCCTCCTGCCCCAAGAGTTTGGGTTCGTCGGACTCCCCAAGGTACCTCCCATGGTCAGCTGTCAGCAGGGGCTGGAAAAGGGGCCCAAGTGTGGGGATACTATAGGGGCCAGGCCACAGACAGTTGCTTCTCTGGGTCCAGGTGCCAGGCACCAACAGGCCCCAGACCCTACTCTGGACTCCATCCCACTTCTGTCTCTCTCCTGTCCTCTCCCTGTATCTCTGTATCTCTGCCCACCATGTATCTCTGCCTTGCCCAGTCTTTATCTGCTGCTGCTGCTTGGGTTCTGTCTCTCCCTCCTCTTGGCTCCACTGCACCTCTGTGACCCACTGTCTCTTGGACTCCAGACTCCTCTTCCCACCCTTCCTTCCAGAACTCATGCCTACCCAGGCCCTTCAGGGTGGGCAAGACAAGCCCAGCCCTGGCATCCTCACCCCTCCAGGGCTACCTCACTGCCAACCCCACCATCCACTCAAACACACTCATCACACATACTCACATGCACACCCCATCACACACGCATACACACACATCACACACTCATCACATTCAGACACACTCATCACATTCAGACACACTCATCACATTCAGACACACTTTCTCACATTCTCACACACACACATGCACACTCACATGCACCCCTACTACATGCATATCCATGCAGCTCCTTCTGGGATACTCCCCCAGCAAAGACTGACCGTTCTCATTTTGGCAATCAATGGCCTTTTTCATTTGCCAGTTCGTGGACATTCAGCCCAATGATGGCTTTGGAACAGTCTTGCCACTGGAAAGTTTGCAACTCTATGTGATCTTCCAGCCCACCAAGGCCAAAGAGTACAGCTTCGAGCTGATCTGCAAATCGGAGATTAACAGGTGAGCCTGTTGGGTGAGGGCTACTTGCAGGGCCTGGCACATGCAGCTCAGGGCAGCCCCTCCACCTATCTTTGCACACTCAGGCTGGCTTCTGGACCCTACCAGCCAGAGATCCTCAGCAGTTGGGCATGGGACCAGGTTGACCACAGGGCTGGGCTGAGCAATACTGCAGACCTGAGCAGAGACAGGCCTGGGAGCTGGGCTGACTTGCACACTGGCCAGCTCACCTATGTGTACATGTGTGAATATGTGTACATATAGGTGTGTGTGTGTGCGTATGTGAGTGTGCTGTGTGTGCATGTGCATATGAGTGTATTTATATTAAGTGTGTGTGAGTGTGCATGCAGGTATGTGTATGTATATATGTGTGCACATGTGCAAGTGCATGTGTGTGTTTTATATGTGTGTGACCATGTGTATATAAGTACATGTCTCTGTGTATATGTGTGTACATGTGTGAGTTTGAGTGTTTATAAGTGCATGTGTATATCTGTACATGTGTGTGAGTACATGTGTGTGAGTACATGCATGTGTGTTTATGGAAGTGTGTGAACATTTTAGTGTGTTCATTGTGTGCATGTGTGAATGAGTGTGTATGAGTGTGTGAGTGGGTATGTACATATGTCTGTGTCTTTGAATAGATATAAGTGTGCATATATGTGAGTGCTTGTGAATGAGTGTGCATGTTTGAATGAGAGTGTGTATGAGTGTGCATGTGTGTGGCAGACACCCCTCTGGCAGCAGGGGGATCTGGACATAGGCCCACCTGCTCTGACACACTGTATGACTTTGGGGTGGGGGGGTCCTAGATCCTACTACCTAAGAGAAGAGAGAAGGAGGTCCCAGGGCAGGGGGATGGGGCGAGAAATGAAGCAGGATGGGGAGGGGCAATCTGTAATAAGCATTGGCTCTCATTGCTAGATTGGGTCATCAGCCTCAAGTGAGAAATGTTATGGTTCAAGGGCTGATAGTGGTGTGTCAAACCCCAGATGGGTCCTGGGCAGGCATGTGAGGACACATGAGGTTTCATGAGGACAACCTCAGAGACTATCAAGGCCCCTGAAGCCCCTCCCCTCTGCACTCACACCCACTCCACCTGCTCTGCGCCTGTCCTTATCTCTTGTCCTATCTCCACCTCATTTCCAGGCTCATGCTACCGTGTCCTGGCTGGGCCTCAACAGCCAAGTGAGGTGAGCCCAGCCAGGCTTAGACAATTGGGTGAGGTCAACCTGGCTGGTGGCTCCATAGTGTGCCAAGACCTACTGTAAGGGGAAGTGGGCTCATAGTGTGATTTTAGGGGGTAAAGCATGAGTTAGAGCCATGGAGAGGAAAGCTCTCACCACCTATTCTCAGTTCCCCATCCATGCTCAGTTTTTTCTCACCCTCTAACGTACTGTGAATTGGCCAGAGGTGGTTCAGTGGTAGAGTTCTCTCCTTGCATGCAGTAGATTCCACTTAGAATGACAGCCAGTACACCCACCTGTTGGTGGAGTTCTGTTTGTTGCTATGATGATGAATAGCAACTCGGTGGAGTTTCCAGACTAAGACAAACCAGGAAGAAGGAAATCAGCCAATGGAAACCCTGTGAATGACAGTCTGACCTGCATCTGATCACGGGAATGGCATAAGACCCGGGCTTACAAGGGCTTTTTCAGTAACAACAACATACTGTGAAACCTTGGTAGCTTGATTACCTCTCCCACCCCTCTGAAAAATAAGTACCATGAGAAAAGGGGGTTTTATCTGTTTTCCTCATTGAGGTAATCCCAGTGCCCTAGAACTGCACCTGGCCCATCGCAGAAGCACCATCAATGTGTGCTGAATGAGCAAATGTTTGTGTTTAACTTTTAAAAAACTATGTACATGTAAATTGACGTTGCCTAAAGTTAAGACAGAAGCTGTCTTGAAGAGGGCTGTAGAAAGCTCACACCATGAGGCCTCAGTAATTAAACAGCCTGAAAGAACAGGCAGAAGATGCAATGGCAGCCATCCCAGCTCCAGGGACACATCAGCTGGGCACCTCATGTTTCCAAGAGTGTCCCTGCCTGGTACCCCAAATGTGGTTCATGTATTCCTGCCCTTTCTCCTGGAGGACCCCTTGGCGACATCTAGTCTACTGATTCAATCCCCTCATTGCACCTCACCCCTGATGTCCTCTCCTGCTAGGTTACCTTCCAATTAAATGGATTATACCCCACTTACCCACACATCCCTCCCTCTATCAACACAATCTCCACCACTGACCTCTGACTCTATGCCTTCCACCTGTGCAGCGATGGGGAGAAAACCCACAATGTACTGCCCACTTTGCTGGTAAACTCATGCCTACTGCCAGGAGATGGCTGTATACTGCCTGGCCAGCCACCCTCCATCCTTCCTCCTGGAGGACCCATTTACATGCCCATCCTTGCACACCTGATGGTTTCTTTTAGTAGGAGTGGCATTTAGAGACCACATTCTGGGTGCTGAGAGTGCTCATGGATGCTGGACTATTTCCAGATCTTTTCAGTAGACAGAGCTAGGAGGTAATAAAATACCTCAAGCGTTCATAGTGACACTTCCAATTCAAATACAGGACTGCTTTTGTATCTGGCTTCTTCCATGTCTCTTATTCCCCACACTGAGAACCCTGAGAACCCTCCTGAGAGAATTTATGGTGTAAATAGTGTATTAAACATAACTAAAAATGCACAAACAGCAGAAGATAAACTAGACTACTGGGACCTCCAAAACATTAAACACTTACGTACATCAAAAGACTTCTCCAAAAGAGTAAAAAGAGAACCTGCAGACTAGGGGAAAAAAAATTGTCAATGACATATCTGACAAGGGATGAATCTCTAACATTTATGGAAAATTTCAACACCTCAACAAAAGGACAAACAATCCAATTAAAAAATGGGCAGAGGACATGAACAGACACTTCACCAAAGAAAACACTCAGGCGACTAGCAAACACATAAAGAAATGCTTGCGCTCATTAGCCATTGTTGTTATTGTTGTTACCCAAAAAACAAACTCATTGCCTTCGAGTTGATCCTGACTCATAGCGACCTCTCCTTGGGTTTCCAAGGTAGTATCTCTACGGAAGTAGATTGCCCAGTCTTCCTTTCAAGGAATGGCTGGTGGGTTTGAACCTCCAACCTTCTTATTAGCAGTCAAGTGCCTAAGGCACTATGCCACCAGAGCTCCTGCTGTTGTTAGGTGCCATAAAGTCAATTCCGACTTACAGAAACCCTGTGTGCAACAGAAGGAAACACTCTCCACTCCTGCACCATCCTCACAGTCATTGCTATGCTTGAGCCCATTGTTGCAGCCACTGTGTCAACCCAACTTACCAAGGGTCTTCCCCTTCTTTTGCTGACCCTCTACTTTACCAACATGACATCCTTCTCCAAGGACAGATCCCTTCTGATAACATGTTCAAAAGTACATGAGATGGAGTCTCACCATTCTTGCTTCTGAGGAGCACTCTGGCTGTACTTCTTCCAAGATAGATGTGTTAGTTTTTCTGGTACTCCATGATATATTCAGTATTCTTCTCCAACACCTAATTCAGAAGCATCAATTCTTCTTCAGTCTTCCTTATTCATTGTCGAGCTTTCACATGCATATGGGGTGATTAAAAATATCATGGCTTGAGTCAGGCTCACCTTATCCTCAAAGTGACATCTTTCTCTTTAACACATTAGAGGTCCTATGCAGCAGATTAGCTCAGGGCAGTAAGTACTTTGATTTCTTGACTGCTGCTTCAATGGGCATTGATTGTACATCGAAGTAAAATGAAATCCTTCACAACTTCAATCTTTTCTTCATTTATCATGATGTTGCTTATTGGTCCAGTTGTGCAGATTTTTGTTTTCTTTACATTAAAGTGTAATTCATACTGAAAGGTGTAGTCTTTGATCTTCAACAGTAAGTGCTTCAAATCTTCCTCACTTTCAGCAAGCAAAGTTGTGTCATCTGCATATCCCAGATTGCTAATGAGTCTTCTCCAATCCTGATGCCACATTCTTCATATAGTCCAGCTTCTTGGATTATATGCTAAGCATATAGATCGAATAAGTATGGTGAAAGGATACAACCCTGACACACACCTTTCCTGATTTTAAATCAGGAGAATATCTCCTGACTGAGACAGACTAGGAAGAAGGAAGAGGCCGCCCACTTCTTAAAGAATTGGCCAGGGAAAACCTTATGAATAGCAAAGAAACACTGTCTGATACATTACCATGCAACTTTATGAATAGTCCTGTTAGGTTAGAAGGCTCTTAAAATAGGACTGGGAAAGAGCTGCATCATCTGAGTAAACCCAGCCTTACTCATATGGATAAGGTAAATCTTTCAAGACCTCCATTTGCTGATGTGGCACCACTCAAATTGAGGAAAAACAGCTGCAGAT